GCCAGATCACATGCTCCCTGAAAATCGACCAAAATTTTGGAAAAATTTGGCCAAAATACAAAAATTTAGAAATATCAAGATTAGGCTCAAAAATTTGGAAAATTTTATTTCCAAAATTTTCCATGTCCATGACGAGGATCAATAAATGACATACAACATAGCGCCTCAAATAGGGAAAGTCTCCGGACTATTTAATAGTTCACTCGATTTTGCACTTACCATAGGGTTAGATTAGCTTTGATTGGTTGGTTTATATTTGGTAAGTACAAATCACGTGAATGGTAAGTGTCCGGAGACTTTCACCCTCAAATAACCCTAAAAGATTTCGCTGCTATTCGCAAGCCAATCAGATTTCAAGATCCGGTGTAACACGAAAAATCGTTCATAACTAACATTTTACTTATGAAACTGCTTTCTGTGCATTAACAAAAGTTTTTCTTGCACAATTTTGGTATTAGGAAGGCTCTTTCTAACCTAAATTTAACTGCGAAATTTTTTTAAGTTTAATATAACTAAGGCACTTCAAATATTGACAGCTTGGCCTGCATTAATTGATCGACCTAAATTACACCTAAACCTTTATCCTAATCCTAACCTAATTTAGGCCAGTTGATATCTGAGGCAAGAATGCATCTAAGGCACAACATATACAGTCAGGCCCTTCAAAATGCATGATACAGTGTAGTGATTTGGACTGGTTGGTTATAATCGATTAAACGACCTGAACCGAATAAATTTCGGGTAACCGGTTGAGTAAATTCTTAATCGGTTGACCGTACTACTGGTTAATAATCGGTAATCGGGTGGAAGGATCAGGAATGAGCAAGAATTCTGAAAAGTTCCGAAAAGAAAATAAATGAACATAGAAGACGAGTAAGATGGAGACAAAAATTAATAAAGGTCCGAGACTTTCCGAAGGTAAAGTGTGAAGTAATCTTACCGGTTGCAATCGGCTGGCGTAAAATATTTCGGCTCAGTTAACCGATTAAGAAAATTTTTCTCGGTTCAAATCACCAATACAGTGAAACCTCCATAAATGCACCCTCTATAAGTGCACACCTTCCTAAATGCTTAAACTCGGGGCCAAATATATACATAACCTTCATAAATGCACTTTTTCTTAATGTTCTCTAAGTGCACGTTGTTAAATTCGGTCCCAAGAGCGTGCACTTCTGGAGGTTTTACTGTATTCGGAATATTTAACTGTCAAATCTTTTTTTTTTTTTTTAACTCCACTAGTGGGGCGCCATGTCAAATCTTTTAAATTAGTACAGTATATATATCAGGTATATACAAGATAATGACAAATGGTCTTCTGGTTGTATTCATTTTAATATTCTATGCTAAAATTGATAACTTGATGATCTTTCAAAAAGGAATTTATTCGAAATTATGATCAAAGTAACTTTTGGTAGAGCACTGTAGTTTAATCTTCATAAATATATGTATGTACTAATCCCATTGAGATTGAATGCAGTATAAAAAATTTTAATACAGTATATAAACACATCTCTAGTGTAATAGTTATCTGTTCTAAACCTTTTAGTTTGTTGTAAAAAAGAGTTCTGTATATATATATATAGGTCTAGTATAGAGAGAGGTGACTATAATCATTTTATAAATGCATTAAAAATGAAAAATATGTATCACTTCACAGACATTAAATGACCACTTCTACGCACCGGATAATTATATTATACATATATAATGTGTATATATAGATGTAATAAGTTGGTGACCATCCCTCAAGAAATTAAGTGATTTTCTACGTTCCCCCAACCAATTGAAATTATTAATTATAAAGTTTTAACATTACTAAATCGATTAAAGTTCATATGATCAGTTTAATAATGATAATAATAATAATAATAATAATAATGCTCATACAGGTTGCGAAGGATCTGTTAGCATTTTTCTTAACATTGATCCCCAAGAATCATTCGTTGCAGGAATTGCAATCTTTTGATATATTAGTTTCATCACACCCAACAATGATTAAAAATTAGTAAATGTATAAATTATGACACATTAAAAGATAAAAATAATTTACCTGGTAAGGAAATGGGTTCGCATCAAGAGATGTGATCGGTGGAATATGGTCTTTTTTATCATTAACATATCGAATAATCTTAAACAGGCATGCTGAAAGTTGTCTATCCATTTCTTTACGAATCCTTAATTTATCTGAAAAAAAATAATAAAGAAAAAAAGTTGATAAAATGTAAAACTCATGACTTTCTCGAATTTAATAATGATAAGAAATTTACCGCTTTCTGTATGACATGTCACCGTTGTTATGGTAACAGCCCATTGTTCCCAGCAAATATCCTCTTCAGTTCTACTAAACCAAGCATTCTTTGTGGTTCTTTTTTCATGGAACGTTACCGAGATCTGAATATTAGGAGTTATAATGAGTAAAATATGTATACATATAAATCATGTATTAAGGTGTTTTTTAAAATTTTTTTAGCAACCTGTCCCTTTTGATTTCCATGGCTTTCAAGGTTACGTACAAATAGTTCAACTTTTTCATCCACAACCTTCTCAATTTCGGGATCGTCTATTGCAGACTTTTAAATCACGGATAAAAATAATAAGAACATCTAGATTAATAATCAAAAATAAATAGAAAGCTGTATCACATACATAAGTAATGTCCAACAAGTCTACTTCTTTCGGTTTTATATTACCAAAAATTCGATAAAATAGTATTGTATGCAATATTGCTGGTAACATTAAAGGGCAAATAATAAGAATGGATCGAACGTACACAAAGAAAGCAGCTAGGGAACACACTCGTGTAAATTATTATTATCAAACATATCGTAATAATAGCTTTACTATTCTGTTATTCCTCAGCCTGATATTCTCCGCTTAAAATAAACTAAATAAATGGTGTGTTCTGTAGCTCTTTTTCTAGCATAAACTCGAGTATATAAATCCTGTCAATTTACCACGCAGCACATCCGGAACTACAGTTCTATCAACTGTCTGAAAAAAAATTACTGTCAAGATAATTATATAATCTCTATGCAAAGCAAGGATCGAGATTAGAAAACCTTGTACCAAGTTGATCGAAAAAACTTCAGGCGTCATTTCAAAAAGATTTTTTTTGTTTCTGTGTTAAGGTAAAGTCTTGCCTCTTTAATTTTTTAACAATTTGTTCAAGGTTCCTTGAAAGGTCCCTTGTATACTGAGAGGTTTAGAACGGAAAGTATAAAAAAAAAATGGTTGGTTTTATTGTATTAATAAAATAGACAATATATATAAATTTGAAATACCGATAAGTAATAGGTGATCGATCGGACAATTCTGCACGTGATTAATACGAATAACAATAATAATAACAATTACATACCACGGTTTTGAAACTCTGATTCAAAACTTACGCCAGATCCGAAACCCTGGCCGAATTTTATTTTTTTAATATTGGGAACTCGAAAGTGAATATTTAAGTTGTCAGTGTGCTAAATTAAACCTGAAAAAAATAATATACATATTTATTTAACCACATATACGATGGTACGAAAGCTTATTTCACTATTTCTTTGCCTAACTTCCATTTTTATATGCTAATAAAATGATTGAGAACAAATATATACCACATAACATTAAAGTTTTTATTAAATTTCCTCTAGTACATTATCTTGTACAGGTTACCCTCGTTAATATCATCTATAAAAATTTGCCTTGTGGCTTAGCCGATATTAACGATACCATTGATGAAATGAATGTGTTACTTTGAGAATCAGACATTCATAAAAAAAGTACATTAGCATTATTTTAAAAACATTTTCAGCAAATATTTTTGTTGAATTGCGTTATATATTCTGGCCAATTGATTAGTTGCCAACTACACTCAGACCTCTATAATTGCACACCCCTTCGGGACCATAGGAAAATTTTTTAAAAATGTTCATTTAGGGAGGGTGTGCATTTATAGAGATAATTTTTACTATGTTTCTATATACTTGAGACCATGGCAGAGCGTGCATTTAAGGAGAATTTACATAGTGGGTGCATTTATAGAGAGTGCAATTATAGAGGTCTAACTGTATAGAGGTTGTCTGAAGCGGAAATGGATCACGTGCATGCAATACAATCTAAACCTACTTCAGGTGGTGTTTGGAAGACAATTTCGCATATATATACCTACCTAAAACCCAACATAACTCTAATTTAAGATGACCTTAACAGTTAATTCAAAATATATATTAATTATTTAAGCTATTACTACTTTAGACATCCAAATCTAATTACAGGTTATCGTTATAGTGAAAATCATTAATTCAATTTTTTTATAATTACTGCATGAATATTGGTACGTAGGCGTAAATAGTAAAACATATAAAATTCAAATTGTAATAACTCTTGAACCAGCAGACTGTAACAACGCTTGATTGTTTTTTTAGCTTCATTGTTTGGGGAATAGCGGAGGACTCTAATTGATACCAAAATTCTCGTGTTTGATGCATTTTTAATAAAAATATCAAACTCGTAACTTTGAATTTTCTGTCATTACAATCTACATAGAAAATTCAAAGTTATATTTTTATTAACAATGCATCAAAAACGAGAATTTTAGTATCACTTAGAGTCCTCAGTTATTCTCCAAAAAAAACAAGCGCTGTTACATTTACGCCTATCATCAGATTTTTTTCCCGTACAGCGTGGACTAAATACCCGGGGTACTTTGCAATTTAAGCTGTATATATGGGTATTATGGTAATATTTTATATAGTGTACCCAGGGTACTTTACATTCTGAAGGGTATTAAAAAAAAGGGTACGTTTTCAAATGATCAGGCCTGGCTTATCGTTATGGTAATACATACCGATATTCATTGTGTTGGGCTTGTCTAAGAAAAGAAACCTGTTATACCATACTACATACTAAAATCAATTGTTTCGGTAACACGTGATAAATTTTTTTTTTTAAAGAAAACTATCGTTATGCAGATCATTCATTTTTCTTTATCGTTTCACATAATCCTTTAAATGATGTTCTTCAGCGAAACTCTACTACAAGAGCCTTCTGAAGATCAGTCTGAGGAAACCTCGTGGACTGACCCAACTTCATTATCTCGTTATAAGTCTCGTCGTCAGCAAAAGCCTCCGCGCAAACAACAACGCACAACTTCTCAAGATTTTGACGATCTTGTTTTCGGTTATGAAGCAAAAACCTTCCGAGACAATGAAATGGCCAAAAAAGTTAATGCCGGGGAGTTATTAATCCCTTGGAGGGGTGAATCCGAAAATAAAATCTTACTTGATAGGTGAGCCACGTTTTTTTTTAAAAAAAAAAAATTTAAAAACAAATGAAAAAAAAATCAAATGAGTTGCCGACATCTGCCTCAATCCCCTTGGAAAATTTGGCGTGTGTCGAGAACTTGTTTATTTATGTTCAAGATGCATTATGCACTCAAAAATACACTAACTTTTTTTAGAGTTGAAGGTATATTTTTCGCTCAAATGCTGATTAAACGATAAATCTAAGTATGCAATAGAATGATTGCTATGATTTATCGATAGCGATATGGTACATAAACGCCAAGGAAATCGGAAGCTAGTTCGTTTACCTAACGAGGCTAGAAAAATATTACTTGTTCTGTGGCTAATTGATTATTTCTCTTAAAACGCGTTCTTTGCGTCCCGTTCTTAGATATGATGTAAGAAATTTGCTTGATGATCGCGACCGCTTTAAAAAAACTCCTTACACCATGACACGGACTATCGAGGAAATCGAACAAGAAAAACTTTGCGATATAGAACGATGGTTCGATTTGGATTCCGAAGCTGAAGATATCTTCGATATGTCTGAAGAAGAAAGAGAAGATTATATAGGTATTAAACTTTTGCTTTAATGTACTGTCTGTTCTCTCTAAACCAATCTTAAATTAACTGGACACTTAATAGACTCTGTCTAAACTGAACTTTAAATTTACAAATTTTATTATGATGTTCGTTTAGACATTAGATAAATCTTTAAACTGAACTGTTTTCTCATTTTCTTTAACAAGTCCCAAAGATTTGATATATGTGTACTGATTCGTATATTTGTCACATCTATATATAGAAGATAAAAGAAAACGAAAAAGGGCACAGGCCAGAAATAAAGAATATGATTATGATTATTTTCAAGATTTCAAAGTGAATGGTTGGTTTAAAATTAAGAAAAAGGAAACCCCCAAAACAAAAACTTTTATCATGAAACATTTCTCATTTTCTTAATATTAATAGAAGAGGAGGAAGACGTTAAGAACATAAAATCTAGTTATGTTCCAAAATATTCTGTACCTCAAGGAATTGCAACGGTATAATTAATTCATAGGTTTTCTTCTAAGTTTGTAAATAATACTTGCTTTGCAATTAATCATTTATTATTGTGTTTAGCCATCTGACGATCGTGTCGACGAGATTATCGAACGTACTGCCAAATTTTTAAATTCTAGTACCGATAGCCAGATGGAAATCGTTATTCAAGCTAAACAGGCCAACAACCCAAAATTCTTCTTTCTGAACAAGGATGATCCACTATATCCTTACTACAAACATGTGCGTTTATTATTACAAACTGGTCTCTTTTCGTATGAGGATAGTGATAAGGAAGATAATGGCACGTCTGGCAATAAGACCTATAAGAATATTGGAAAAAATATTGTTAAACAATATAAAGGGGATAACGTGAAATCGCGCAAAGATAATGATAATGATCTGAAATCTACCGATTCCAAAGGTGCGATCATCGAGTCGAATTCCTCGAGTGTTAATGCTGAAGATTCTAACACTGCTAAGTCTTCGAAGTCTCAATCTCAGCCTATTGGTCCAATTGTGTATGTATACGTATAATCTGTCTTTAATTTGGCTTATTACTTTTCTTTTACCAAATTATTTATACGATTTTATCCAATTTATTGATATAATTGTTATCTATTCATCATTAATAGTGTACCACCACCAGATCTCAAAATTATAATTGATAAGATGGCTACATATGTTTCCAAGAGCGGTGAATCTCTTGAAGCAAAAGTTCGTGAAAAGCACATAGATGACCCTCGTTTCAGTTTCTTACTGCCTTGGAATGAGTTTCATTCTTATTACAGGCAAAGAATTCAACATGAAAAAGCAACTGTGGCATCAACATAAGATTTCACAGGAAAGTAATGAAATATTATCGCAATACCTTATTGGTGCCTTGTGCTTATGTACAATTTATTATATTTCTTGTTTTTACTATTATATCTATATATATATATATATATTGGTTCTTTGATTTGTAGTTTTGATAAACATATTTTTATCATAGCAGCTAGAGTTATAAAAATTACTACGTGTTACTATAATAAATCGGTTAAGAATAATTTCTTAATAAGATTTGTTTATTGAATTATGTGTAAATTTAAAGTTTAGCAAACCAATTTGTTTACTTCAATGTTATAAATTTCGGTTTTACTTTTAAAAGATTAATAAATTTTTATATAATATATATTTAAAAATAAGAATTATACGGCATTAGGCTATGTAACATTGGGTGTTAGTCTATGGCGACCCATGCGATCGCCAATCAAAATCGATCGCGCGACATTATTTAATAAAAATTTTCTAAGTTGTTTATTTAGAAAAAATGTGTTTGTCACCTAGGTAGGGGATCGTAGGAAGACTTTCGTATGATTGGCTGTTTAAATCAATTTAATTTTACATTTATACAGTTTAAAGTACTTTTTAAAAAAATAAAACTACGAAGAATAAACCAAAAAGAAGCATATAAAAAGTTTTATTAAAGTTGTAGGACTCCACTATTAAAAATAATTAAAATCACTTTTTGTTTTAGCATAATAGCGACTTCTTAAAGATAGATAGAATTAGGTTATTACCATTCTAACTTTTCTAAAACAAAAAGGGATTTTGATTATTTTTAATAGTGGAGTCCTACAACTTTAATAAAACTTTTTATATGCTTCTTTTTGGTTTATTCGTAGTTTTATTTTTTTAAAAGTACTTTAAACTGTATAAATAACGTAAAATTAAATTGATTTAAACAGCCAATCATGCGTAAGTCTTCCTATGAAGGAAGGTAGGGGGTCCGTCCGGTTAGATTTTACTTCATCTTAATAGGCAGAAGTTCGTCTGATTGGCTAAATTCAATTTAATTTTACATTATTTATACAGTTTAGAATACTTTTTAAAAAATGAAAACTGGTTATAATGAAATAAAAAAAGCTGCTTAGAAAGTTTCATTAAAGTTATAGAATTCCATAATCAAAAATAAGATCCAATTTTCATTTATTTAAAAAGATTAACTTAGTAATAAGTTGATTTTATCTGGTTTTAAGAAGTTATTACTATATTAACTTTTTTAAATGGATAAGAATTAGACTTTATATTTGCTTATGGAGTTTTATAGCACTAATGAAACCTTTTATACAGCTTAAAAAGATACTTTAAATTGTATAAATAATATATAATTAAATTGGATTTATTAGTCAATTAGACAAATTTTTGTTTATAAAATCTATTTAGTAGACAGAAGTTTGTTTAATTGTTAATAAATTTTATATTATTTATATAGTTTAGAGTATTTTTTAAAAAAATCATAATAATTGTTACTAATGATTGAGTTAGAATACCTGTAATGGTGGTCATACCAGCATAACTGGCAGATTATAGGGCATCTGTACAATGTTGAAGTTATACAAGAAATGCAAACTGACAAATCGGACAGTGCAAACACTAGATAAATCCTTGTGACCATGTAAATTTGTTAAAATTGGGTAACAAGAAGTTTATTTGGAAAGACCCGAATAGAGAGGTAGTTGAATTTTCAATGATCTTACTATTGTTATAGAACGATTTATTATTATTTTATTATTATTAATTATTATTATTATTATTATTATATTATTATTATTGGTATTAGTTATTTCATTATTGTATTATTATTATTAGTAGAAGTTGCCAGAACATTACGGTTGATTAGTAATCACTTAGTCGCTTAGACGCTTAGTCGCTTAGTCGCTTAGACGCTTAGTCACTTAGTCGCTTAGTCGCTTAGTAATTAGTCGCTTAGTAATTATTAGTCATTAGTTGCTAGAACCTTCCGGTCACTTAGTAATCGCTTAGTCACTTAGTCGCTTAGACACTTAGTCGCTTAATCGCTTAGTCGCTTGGCCGCTTAGCCGCTTAGCTCACAGATATATAAA